ACCCGTCGCAGCGTCTCATGCCTCGACTCAATCGCTGCGTTTCTTCGAGTCGCCAATATCACCCGAATCACCAGCACCAGCGGCCTCCTTTCCCCTGCCCGCCGCGACGTCCTCCCCGCCCAAGTCCTCATCCCACTCGTCAACGGCGTTCTCATCCCAGTTGTCGACCTCATCCTCGAGCGAGCGCGCCTCGGCAGCGTCGACGACGCCATCCTCCTGCGGCCCGCCGACCCCCATCTCGAGATCCTCGCCGTCGTCCTCGCCCGCGACGGCGCCGTAGCCCCGCTGCGCGCGCCTCCGTTCGAGCATGCGCTTGTGGTACCACGTGCACAGGCCGACGCCGGCGAGCGAGCCGGCGACGTTGGCGGCGATGTCGAACAGGTCGAAGACACGGCCGTTGGGCAGCAGCGCCTGCAGCAGCTCGGAGCCGACGGCGAGGAGGGCCGTGCAGACGAGGAGCGTGAGGTTGAGGGTGCGGCGGCGCGTCGTGTCGAGGATCCAGTAGAAGACGGTCGTCAGGAGGAAAAAGGTGAGGAGGTGGAGGACCTTGTCGTTGATGTACGTCTCGAGGTGCAGCGGCGTTAGGCCTAGGTAGGCGGCTGCCAGGAGGAGGGCGAAGAAGGTGCCTGTTTTTTTTTGGGTTCTCTCATCAGCTACACACTCTTTCACGAAACAAAAAAAAAACGTCTAAGACGGGAAACGGGCGGGGCTGGCGAACCGGCAAAGGGAAGTCGTATCCTCATGGTGGGCGATGTGGCGGTTGTGTGGAGTGATTTGCTTCTTGGGTTCTGTCGAAGACCTGTCGAAGAGATAGACAGACTGAAACGATGAAGCAGCAATTGTACTGCGGCACTGCTGCTGTTCTCGTCGAGATGGTCCGTGGGGTCTGTCGTTGACGTGGTCGGGTCCTTTTTGGGGTGGAAGCCTGGAGGAGACGGCTCGTCGAGCTGGTTGGGAGCTTTCTGCAAAGGTGAGCTGTGGCCTCCAGCCTCGGGAGCGGCAGGCCACGGAGCAGTGACGACAGAAGACAGGCGGCGCAGCTCTCAGATGCGGCGGGCCAGGGAACAGGGGGGGCCGGACGTGGTGCGTGTGGTACGTGGTGCTTGAGGTGCGTGGGATTGGCTGGCGGGGTCTCGGTGGGACAGATGCGTGGGACTCTGGGACGTGGAGCGGTCGATGATTAATATGCGGGACAGTCTGGGGATCCTGATGAAAGTCGATATCGTCTAGGTACGATATGCAGGTCTTCAAAGCGCTGCCCCCAATTGATCTGAATGGAGATGGCTGACTGGAGCTCCGACAGCTTTGAGTGAACTCACATCGCCTTCTCCCGAGACATGCCTGCCGCACTCCATATCCTCAGGTTTCCCTTTCCCTCTGATGCAGCGCGGTCATCACGTGACTGATGTGGGCCCATCGCGCCTGATCGCTGGTGCTCGCGTTCCTCCACGTCTACTTTGGGACCCAAGGTTCCGGTACAAGGCTCACGGAAGCTGGGCCTTGCCTTGTCGTGAACAATCGGCTGTTCACGCTGAGGAGGTTCTCATAAATAGAATATGAATGCATTGATATCAAACCAGTGAATACAGAGCGCTAATGACCTTGCATCGGACTGGATGTGGTCGCCTCATGCCAGACGCCCTTGTACCTCTACGGCCTCCACACCCGTGTCAGTACCAAAGCGTCGAGGTGCCAGGGCACCGCGCCTGGCAATCCACTCCGGTACAAGCCTCGCCAAAGACTCAACCTCACCTCTTGCGAACAAGCGAAAACACCCCTATCACGAACCATCGCAGCGTCATCACCTCCATCTACCACGCCCTCCGACTTGGGAATCCATCTCTATCGATGTCGCGCCATCCTCCGATGCAATCATAGCCCCCCTAATCCGCCCGAGTCCGGCATAATTCGAGCGCCCTTTCTGGCGCCCGGCGACAGGCCCCTCCGCTTGTCGCTGCCATCGACGAGGCCGCATCATGTCCCTCCCCAACGGCCATCACGCGTGGCAACCCCCCAACGGCCATTACGCACCCAGCAGTAAGCTTCATCAGTCTTTTGATGATGCCTCTGCGCGCAACGGCACGCCTCTCGACAATTCCATATCATTGATGCCTGAGGCACCACCCGACGCCGAGGATGAGCGACGGCGATCCCAGTTCAGGGATCTCTTTCGCGAGAGCGAATCCAGAATCGCATTGCTCTTCGGCGATGATGGCTCCTACAATCACGATGCCATCAATGCGCTGAAGCAGACGGCCCCCGCGCCTGCCCCCTTGCTCCTTGAATCGGCTGAGGACGCGCCTCAGACCGCGGCGCAGGAGCCACCGCGCAAGAAGGCCAAGCGAGTCATCGACGAAGATGACTACGGTGATGACGACGACGACGAAGATGAAGATGACGAAGACCCCAAGGAAAATGGCGACGCGTCCAAATCCAAGGATGCTAATGCGATGCTTCCGAGCCCCTCCAAGTCGGGCAGCTCGCCCGTTCGCTCCTTTGGCTCTCCCGACAAGACGAGCGACAAGACGAAACTGCCCGACACATCACACGACATGGCAAAAACGAGCGAGGATGCGCGCAAACAGCTCGAAGAGTCGCGAAACGCAACCGAAGAAGCGGCGCGCCGCAGCTTCCACACCGTCTTCTACACGCTCGAGAATGATCGCACCGCCATGCTGGAGCAGCAGCAGCTAGAAGAGTCGGAGAAGCAGCTGCAGGCTGAAATGGACAACAATACAAGCCAGGGTAACGCGGCCGGCGGCCAGGCCGAGAACCACGGCTCCTTGAGTAGCGCCAACCTCGGCGCGTCGAGCTTGACCCTGAAGCACCTCATCGCGAGGATAGACATGAAACGCGACCAGGTGCGCGCGTCCGATGCCGAACTGCGGTCCCTCATGAACGAGGTCCGAAAGAACAGGAGCAAATGGGCCAGCGAAGAGAACGTCAATCAGGAGGAGTTGTACGAGGCCCTGGACAAGGTTCTCACCGAACTCAAGGCGCACACAGAGTACTCGACGCCGTTCTTGCAAAGGGTGAACAAGAGAGATGTGCCGGATTATTACAACCGTGAGTTTCAACCACCCTTGGCTGCGTGCGCCAACTCGTCTGACATAAACCCCCCCAGTCATCAAGCAACCCATGGATCTGGGCACTATGACGAAGAAGATCAAGTCGCTCACCTATAAGTCCAAGACGGACTTCGTCCAAGACCTGAATCTGATTTGGGACAACTGTTTGCGATATAACCAAGACATGAACCATCCGCTTCGCCCGTATGGCCAATGGCATGCGCAAGGAAGCCGAGAAGCTCATCCCTCTGATCCCCGACCTTACCGTGCGCCCTCGCGCCGAAGTCGAGGCCGAAGAGCGGCGCAAACAGAATGGTGGTGAAGAAGAAGGCGGCGACGACTCGGACGACGAGCCAATCATGTCGTCTCGCGGCCGCACTGCTGGCACCAAGGGAGCCGCCAAGTCTCGAAAACACCCGCCAGATCAAAAGGAGGACACACCAATGACTGACCAGAAGCCCGCAATTCATCTCAACGGACTGCTTGCGAAACAACGCGAGGATTCGGAGGCCGTTGACAGCAGCAATGGGTTCGGCACGCCTCCAGTCGGCGCTGGCTCCATCACGCCCAGTGCCGCCAATGGTCCTTCGGGCGTTGCAAGCAATGCCGATGCCATGGATATAGATGGCCCCTCGCTGAACGGAATGGTTCTCGGGCACGCCCTGAACGAGGCTGGCGAGCAGGACCACGAAGACGAGGAGTACAAGATCTGGAAGCAGGTCACGAAGAAGGATCGCGCCCTCATTGCCAAGGAGCGCCATATTTTATTCAAGGATAGTAAGCTCAACACGGATGCGCCTGCTCTGTTGCGCACCAAGGCCGGCATCCGACGCTTCCTGCGCGGGCAGAAGGAAGCAGAGGCTCACGGCATCATCAGCCACTCCCAGGCAGACTCGTCAATCGTTGCCGCCAAGGACGCATCGAACCCTGCCGAGACTCTCGCCGAAGGCATGGAAGGAGAAGAGGAGCGTGTCGTCCCCGACTACTACGAGCCTCTGACCACGATTCCAGATGTCAATCCCAAGCTTCAGTGGATCGAGGATGGCGAGGGCCAGGTCATCAACCAGCACGAGGAGTTCCTGCGCATGGTTCCCGCTGGGCACTTCTTGGCCCCCAAGGGCAAGTTTGCGAGTAAAATCGACACCAACATCCGACAGATCCAGGAAACGAGGAAGCTGGCCAGCAAGATTGGTGTGATCAAGCAGATGCAAATCCAGACGCAGGTAAGGTCTCTCTTGGCCTGTTCTGTCAACCAGTACTGATTCCTTTTCAGGTCTACACCAACCAGTTTCCCAAGGTCAACTTTGACTCCTTTGTGGAGCAGGACATCGAGCCCACTTTCATGGCCGACAACGGTCCCATTATCGCTCCCCAGACTTGTCAGAAGGCCTTCCAGCGTTCTGTCGCCAAGATCCTGTACACGAGCGGTTTCGAGGAGCTCCAGCCATCTGCGATCGATGCGCTCACCAGCATCGGTGCCGATTACTTCCAAAAGCTCATTCACACCTTCAACGTATATCGGGAGGCAGAGAAGAAGGAGGACCTCCTAATGCACCCAACGGTGCCAGGTTCCAACCTCGTTTCACTCCCGAAGAAGTGATTCTGCATACACTTGACGAGAACGGTTGCGACATTGCCAGTCTCGAGGCATACGCCAAGGATGAAGTGGATAGGTTGACGACGAAGCTTGACAGTATCCACGAGAGGATGAAGATTCACTTGACGGATCTGCTGCGTCCGGCGCTCAGCCAGGAGGCTGGCCAGGATGGCGTGGGCGCTTTCAACGACGGCAGCGAGCAATTCGTCAGCGGAGACTTCGCCGAGGACCTCGGCGAGGACTTCTTCGGTTTCAAGTCTCTTGGTCTGGATCAGGAACTCGGACTCGACATGCTTTCTGTTCCCCTACATCTTCTGCAGACCCGCGTTCGCAACCAATATCAGATGCAGACACAAGCCGTCGGGAGGTCCTTCGGCTGTCGAACTATTCGATTCGCTGCCGCCTCCTGAACCGGTTTCGAAGGAGAACATCAACGGCCAGATCGGTCTCATCAAGAAACTTCTTCCTGGCTAAGCTACACGCGAACGGCGATACACCTTTTGGTTGAAGATGAGGACTTGCCGTCAAGCAGAGGAGGCCGAGGCCCCGCCTGGGCGCTACGGGCAAGATTGTCTCACCACAGAAGAGGCCGCCAAGGAACAGATCGCGCTGGCCAAGAAGAAGAAGAAGCTCGAGTCTGGTCAGGCACAGGTTACCGAAGGCAAGGGCGTTCAAGCTTCGCCCGAGAAGGGGGTCAACACGACGCCGGCCAAAAAGAATAAGAACATGCCCATCACGAATGGCACGGCCATTCCCGCACCGGTACTCGCGCCCAGTATTGAGCGGATTGACAGCATGCAGAGCCAGGGCAACGGCAGCCAAGCGGAAGAGAGGGACGGCGCTTCCGAAAGTGCGGAACGATAATATATTCGGCATTCGCCTTATACGAAAACGATACACAACTACGCGTCTTCCGCTGTACCAAACAACACACTTTTACTTTTGCGACTTTCCCTTTCGAATCGACAGCTCTTGCAGCTTCGCGCAATACTTGCCGCTTTTATTTTTCCTTAGCTGCTCCGGCAGATTCTGTTTTATACGGCAATGGAAGCACAAAAACTCATACAATTCGGCGTTGGGGGACGTATTGCCTTCAAGGCCAAAAACGAAAGAGCGACGCCATAATATCATGGACAGGTCGGATTCACTCAGGCATTGGGATACCCGAACGCAGCTGTTTTGACACGATGGATTAAGAAATTGGGGCTGCGGGTCAGTGTCTGGGGGGTTTTGTTCGTTACGATATCGGGCTTCCCTGTCCTTCGTGTCATGGGGAGGTCATCGCTTGGGCGAGTCACATTGGACTATGGTAGAAATGCTTTCTTCTTTTTTTCTTTTTGTCCTCCAGTCTGAGCTGCAAGGTTGAGGGGCGAGTCGAGCCCGTTCATGGGACGATTGGCGGCAGCGCGGGATGAATATTGGATCGGCTTCTTTCAGGAGACCAAGGCAGAGGCTGCAGGCTGTCGTCGACATCTCCAGGGGTGCTCCGCTCCCGTGACGGCGGACGTTTCTTCGAGGCAGCGTGAGCAGGGCTTCTCGGTGCCGAGGAACAGTGCTGTGAATGACGGACAGCATGGAATGGTTGAACGTTAGGACGTGAGACGAGTTAGAGTTGAGACAGTCGCCGGCGCGCGTAGCTCGTTATGTTCCAGTACAGAATCAAAGTTGACACCCGCCAGGCCCCCATGATGCAGTGATCAATTCCAGGTTTTGCCTAAGTGCATGCCGTTGTCTTAAGAATGGAAGAGGAAGCAACGGCGACGACGGACAATGGGGATCTCTCTCGATTAACCTACTCATCCCGACCCCTATTCAGCGGGCCGCGATAGGACGCCCTTCGCCCTATTGTGCAATTGTCTAGATCGTAGAACCGGTCTGGGGATCTATTCCTTGAGCCTTTGTCTGCTCTTCAAGTTGTCTTGTTTCTACGCTGCGCTCATACTTGAATCAACGCCTCAACGATCAGTCTCTTCTTCTACCCCCTTTCAAGTTCCGTCTTGCATGATCCTCAATCACACCGCCATCATCACAACCATGGGGCAAAGGCAAACCAAGCAAACCTTGGCCCTTTGGTAGACCTTAACCCGCTGCCATCAGCATGCCAATCCGGCCCCATCCCCTGCTGCTATTTCTTTCGTCTCAGCGTCCGGCTTGAAGCCATGTCTGGCGATCCCACCTCACATCCCTTCCCCCGCAGCCCGGATATTTCAGCACAGTCCGGCTGCCACCACCAACCCAACCGAGATCGAAGACCTCACACAGGCCCTAGCAGCCCTGACGATCCAGCCGACAACGCCACAGAAGCGCAAGCACGCCCCTCCCGGTCCGGTCCGCCAGACCAAGAAGCGACGAAAGCTCAGCGGCAGCCCCGTCGCTCTCCCCGGTTCGCGGATCCGGGGCACGGCCCCGCATCGCACCTCGATTCCTTCGTTTCCGAGAAGCCTGCTGTCGCGGAGGACGGCGTACGTCCCGTCGACGGGCCTGCGACGGGTGACGACGCCGCTGGCGAGGCGGTATGCTGTTGAGATGGACGTGGATTCCCCGCAGCCGGTGGTCGTTTTGTATCGGTGGCCGGGCGGCGGTGGTGGGTGCAGAGAGAAGTAGGGGCAATAGCGGTGGCGACATGGTTTGGGAGGAGAGCCTGCGAACGGGAGCTGCCGCTGCTGCAGGATCCATGGATGGATGGAGGTGGGGAGATTCTCGGTGTAGGGAGTGAGAATGATGCTTGTCAGGACGGAGCGACGGAGGAGCAGAGGGCGGAGCTCGAGAGGGAGATTGTGCAAAGTATGAGACAGTGTGTTCCAGGGGCGCAGGAGTAATGGGTTTGGGGGAGGGTCAAGTGAGCTTCGCCGCTGTGCTTCGAAGATGTCACGGCAGTATGTTCTCCTCTGTGCTCCGAGTCGATTAGGATACTTTGTTTGATCATGTGATACCCATAACTATAGTTTTCCAGAAGAACTTGGGCCAACCAAGCAGAGGGGACCAGCGATGTCCACATGTCCGAAACGAAAGTGGAATCGGCGTCGGTGATGCCATGCCTACCTACAGAGTGAGTACGTCCACGATAACCTCGATATATCCGAGTCTATTGATCATGCACGTGTTGGTTGAGCCGGTGGTCTATCACCCCCGAGTTCCCTAGTTCTCAAGACGGCTATGCTCGTCGGCCGCACGTTTGGCAAAGGATGCACGTTCTCACGTACCTATACCATGGTGTCTTTGGCTCTCGGGTTCCACACATCCACACACTTGTCCCCTCAGGTGGTGTAGCGTGATGGGGGCACGAAAGTGTCCGCGGAAGGCAGGGGGCTTTCCAAATCGCTGGGTGATATTCGATTGAAACTGTGGGAAGAGTGGTGGAGGGAAAGTGCTCGCTTGTGTTTTTCATAATATCGTGCTCCTTCCCCGTCAAAGCGGGAGGCTCCTATTCAAAGCTATTTTGGGTACCTAAGGTAGGTACCTTAGGTGCCTAAGTTCCTTCCACAATTTCTCCCCTACAATTCTTGTCCCTTGCAAAAGAGTATAAATACAACCTCCATCAACTGAAGCCCTCCTGTTGCCTTACATACAAACGGTACCAAGATATCATCACCAATTATTCCACAGCATCAACCCACCAAGGTGCTCAACGTCGAACCTATCATGACACGAACTTCGCCCCCGCCTAAAGAACCTGATGCCTGGTCACAGCACGAGCTATTCTGGTTGTTGACCGCCGAGATTACCTCTTACTCAAGCTCTTTTAACGCTTCTCAGGCAGAGGATGAGAAGTATGCTGAAGCGCGCGATGCCGCCATACAAATTCTATTGGCACTTCGAGATGAGAGCTTTGTGCCTTGGCTCGAGCTCCCACCGCCGCAGGAACGACGTGATATCCTCCGAAAAGCTCTGCCGTCTGTTTGTTCCAAGATAAACCAAGGGACCGTCGGTTTCATGCCGATGGTCAAAGAATGGTTGAGTCAATTCCCTAGGCTCCCAAAGTATGCGTACCATGAAAAATGGCAAGCACACCTACTCACAAAACCTGCCCAAACTATATGGCTTGATCTCAAGGCGGCACTCTTAAGAAAGAAATTCAAGATGAGTGGTACCCAGCATCTTCGAGAACACATCTCACTCTCAATCGAAAGTTTTGGTCTATACTCTGACCTTCCGCCTCTGGATGCCCGGAGTATCCCCAACAATCACCGTGGCGGTACACACGCATTCATCGGCAACCTGAAGCGCCCACTGCCTACATCAAGCAGCCCATCACCTCGACCTTCTCGAGTCTTCAAGACAAACGAGTATGCTGCATCAGCTCCACTGACCAGGGGGTGTGGCTCAACGTCTTTTACGCCATTTAAGAATGCCAGTCATCACAGGCCTTCTCAAATTGCAAACCATTCAGATGCGAAACAAGCCGAGTCTAGTCCTAGAAATGGCAATACATCCCTTCAAGGCGCAGAGGCTCGCAGACTATCATGCGCCACCAACGCAACGACAGTCCCTGCCAAAGCCCAGACGGTCATCTCGAGCGAGAACGAAGGCCGCTCCAGAGATGTCCGGAACCCCGTTGCCGAAACAATCACCGCCGCTTGGCAGCCGCAGTTTTCCCTCTACGATTTCCTGAACCTCCAGGTGGCTTCAAGAACCTCCAAAAGTCAGCCTGTCGCTGGAGGATTCCGGTATGCCACTATTATGGAGGTTCTCAAAGATCAGGAGAGGAAAGCGATGGGTGTATCTCCCGTAACTACAACAATTGCGATGTCCCCAGTTCAGGTCGTTGCCTCGATTCAGCCTGATTCGACACTCGTGGTCCAAACTCAACTCGAGGTCAAGGCAGCGTTAGACAAGGCAATGCTAGCCGGGAAACGAAAGATCGCGGGCGACTTGACTCAGAAAATTCGTTCCATGATCGAATAAGTGTCGTGGCGTCGTGTTCGCGACTTGTGCAATTACAATGGTGGAATGATGCGGGCGATTTTGTGTTTCTACTCCGACAGATGCGCCCCATTGTCTGGCGCTGGTGGTATGGCTGCAGGCGATTAGCATTGCACGATCTTGAGGGTTCAAGTTCAAACAATTAGCGTGAGCGGAGTTGACAGGCACGTAAATTCAGAGCAAGGATGGAAGGATGCAGCTGGAACAAGCTTCGCGGCAAATCTCCCGAACAGGAGCAATGTGTACCGCTTTTCAGACAGCAAACAAATGAGATTCGAAAAATCCCCCAATGCAGCTAGTAACGCGACACGGTGCCTCAAGTGGATGAATACGATTCTTGTTGAGAAATAGGGCCGCGGTTGAAGCAGCCCCTCCATCTAGCTAAAGTGCTCAAGTTGATCAACGCCCCTGTTAACTCCCAGCCCGCAGCCCACCGTTTTGAACCCGCCATGGGGAAAAAAAGCAGAAAGTCTGCAACGCCCGATAATAATATGCATGCAACTTTCTTTGTATCCCCCTTTTTTCCCCCCCTCCAGCCGATTCGTGACTCATGTTAAAATGTCTTCCGTCGGACGGGGTGTGTTTCTTCCACCCCGCTGTCGACCACCGGTGTTGAAGTATGCTCCTCTCGTGAGAATAGGGGGACGCATATCCTGGTATCAAATTCCTTGCCTCTCTTCGCCCCTCCTACATCATCTCCGTCATTCCGGTAGTTGCTCAAAAATGAAAGGTGCTCGGCCGCGCCCCCATATTTAGAGGCCGGCGTCCATGCGCCAGCCCTCGATGGGCAGGGGGAAGCCCTGGCACCAGGCGGCGATCTCCTTGCGGAGGTCGTTGATCTTGGCGACCTCGCCGCCGGCGACCTTGGCGCGGAAGTCCTTGAGCTTGTTGGCCTCCTTGGGCAGGGCGCCCTGGACCTCCTTGCAGATCTTGATGGCCTCGTCAATGTAGGCGGCGACGCGCTCAAAGTCGGCCTCGCCGAAGCCGCGCGAGGTCATGGCAGGGGTGCCGATGCGGATGCCGCAGGGGGTGAGGGCCGACTTGTCGCCGGGGATGGCGTTCTTGTTGCAGGCAATGTTGATCTGCTCGAGGACGGCCTCGACGCGGGCGCCGTCGAGGCTGAACTGGCGGAGGTCGAGGAGGACCATGTGCGAGTCGGTGCCGTCGGCGACGAGCTTGTGGCCGAGGGCCTTGAACTTGGACTCGATAGCCTTGGCATTGTCGACGACCTTCTGCTGGTAGGCCTTGAAGTCGGGCGACGCGGCCTGCTTCAGGGCGACGGTCAGGGCGGTGATGGTGTGGTTGTGGGGGCCGCCCTGGTGGCCGGGGAAGACGGAGAAGTTGATGGGGTTCTCGAGGTCGTAGAGCGTCTCCTTGCCCGACTTGGCGTCGACGGAACGGACGCCCTTGCGGAAGAAGATCATGGCGCCGCGGGGGCCACGGAGGGACTTGTGGGTCGTGGTCGTGACAATATCGGCGTGCTCGAAGGGGGAGGGGATGACGCCGGCGGCGATGAGACCAGAGATGTGCGCCATGTCGACGACGAGGTAGGCACCGACAGAGTCGGCAATCTTACGCATGCGGCCGTAGTCGATGAGGCGGCAGTAGGCGGAGGTACCGGCAACGAGGACCTTGGGGCGGAACAGGATGGCGTTCTTCTCAAGAGTGTCGTAGTCGATGATGCCGGTCTCAAGATCGACGCGGTAGGGCATGGTCTCGAAGTAGGTGGAGATGGCGAGAGATCCTAGCCGCAGGGTTAGATGACCGCTCTGGGTGG